TTGTTTTTATAAATTTATAAAATGTTCAACTTTTGTAGCTAAAGATCGAAAATTCAAAACAATTTTTTATTTAAATTTGTTATACATAAATTACTTTATTCACAATAATATCATCAAATATACTTAGTAATATCATAGGCTGACTGACCGGCTTCGCTCAGAATCGCTTTTCTTCTACAATGATTTTGTATTATTGAATTTAAATTTAACACCATAAATTACATTGACCTACTTGTAATCTTGTGTACAGCAGAGCGACATACACTTGTCCACCTTTTTTTTAAATATTTTACTGGCGTATATAATATAATTATTAATAATATTTTTTTATGTGAGCGTGGAATGATAATGTCATTGTTTACGTATATTATAAAGAGTCGGAATACGGTTTTTTCTCTGGGACGGACAAACGCCTTGTCGCAGGAATACAACGCCAATAAAATAATTATAATATTATGATTGTAATTTTGGGGGAAAATATTTTATTAACTTGGTGATTTTTATCTAAGACATACTACGAACTGTCGGTTGTTTATCAGCGGCCTATTTAGCCTAATTGATAGCCTATTTGCGTCCAGTTATACCTTTTTAGACAGCCTAGTTGCGTCCATAGTCTATTACAAACTATTTTTAACAAAGTAGATTTACTGCATATGATTCCACTTCATTTGATTTTATTACATATTTACATTACATTATCTTATCACATTGAAAAAAATGAAATTATACAAACTATTTATAGATTATGTAAAAAAACATGTTAAAATAATTATGCATATTTATAAACAATATGTTTTATTATAAAATCGTCAATTTTAAATTAAAACTATAATTAAATTAATTGTATGCATTTTCAACTACAACATAAAAAGAATAAACTAAAAAATGTTTTAAAATAAAGCTTAAAAATATATGTGCACGAAAATTATTTATTACTGAATGAAAACAATGTTGGTTGAAATATGAGTGAAATTTTTTTTTAATATATAAAAGCAGAATTTTTTTTTCCTCTGAATTTTTTTATTTCTTTCTTTAAATAGTCAATTTCTTGGTGGTTTTTTTGTGTATATTTTTTTAAAAGTATTAATTTGAAATGATTTTAAAACATTGAATATTTGGATGGCTCGAGTAAAAGTATGAATTAAATTTGGAATGAAATGCTTCACATGCGTTCGTTGTTTGTTTCATTTTCAGCTGTTAATATTTGGTTTTGTTATAACATGTACCTCTTCAGGATTTGTTGGTATTTTTCGCGAAATAGTTATCCGAGCATTGTACTTAAATATTTTTACGTACTAGGTTAATTACAGTAGAAGTAATGCATCTACCACTGAGTTCAGTACAAATAAGTTTTTTTGTTTTTATTGATATGTCTGTAATAGTTTTTTGTTTAAGTAGGTACAGTAAATTCTTAAGAGGACCTCAGCGCACTATTTGTTTTCTCTCTGGCTCACGCGCCGCATAGACAAAACACATTGACGCAGAATAATTTTTCTATGTTTTTAAGTAATCTCAGAGTAAAATCACCCATTACAAAATAGATAGAAAATAATATTTTTGAGGGAATGACATATCGGTTTTATATTTTATTGTTATTTGATTTTGTATTTGACTTTCAAAATAAACAAAACAATTTTGTACATTTAAATGATGTTTGAATTGTTTTGAGGCAATATTTAGACAAATCGATATGACATTCCCTCAAAAATATTATTTTTTATCTTTTTTGTAATAGATGATTTTACTCTAAGATTACTTAAAAGCATAGAAAAAATGATTCTGGGTAAATGCATTTTGTCTATGTTGTGAGTGGGCCAGAGATAGAAAACTAGGGCTTGAAACCGATTGAAAAAAATTTGGTTTCGATTTCGATTTTCTACACCGGTTTTTAATTTTTTTGGTTTTGATTTGTATAACGGTTTTGAAATTTTTCTGTTTCGATTTCTATTTTTAAATGTCAGTTTTAGGAAAATATAGTTTCGTTTTTAATCTTGGATACAGGTTTTTCATCTTTTCGATTTTGATTTAAATTTTTAGATGTCGGTTTTATTAAATTATGATTTCGATTTTAATTTTGAATACAGAATTTACACATTTAGGTATTGGTTTTAGGAAATTGACTACAAGTCTGTGCAAACACCATACAAATCCGTTAATACTATATTTTTTAATCTTATCTTGTTTTCTTTTTTTGGTGCAAGTACCAAAGAAGTTTGATCTTATCTGATTTTTGGTGAAAATAATGATTAGTATATTGTACTATATAGTAAACATAAGTAGTAGGTATACTAGGGTGGTACATATTTATAGGGAATTTTTTTTTTATTATTTCTTATCGATCAATCCAAAAAGTTTTTTACGTATGGCAAAAAACGTATGCAGAATTGTATACATTCTACAACTTGGTTAATGTCAAATATAGTTTTCTTTAATAAAAGTCATATAATTAATTTTTCATGAAAATAAAAATTTTACAATCGTGGGAAAAACCAGATAACACCATTGTTGAGTCAAATTCATTAAATTTGTATTAAATGTTTATACCTAGAAAATGGCAAACTTATAGTGTGTCTTGCATGATTAGCTCTTTTTATAGAATTCAAATTATTTTAAATGATATAAATTTCTGAGTTTTTCAAACCATTTAAATCGGGGTTTTTTTAGTGTGCAGTGAGACACATTTTGTGCAGGAAAAGTAATTGTGCAGTGAACATTGTTAATTTGTGCAGTGGAAAAAACGAATTTCAGGATGATATGTTTTATTGTTTATTATAAAACACTAATTGAGTAAACTTAAAAATAAAAAATAAAATGTTTCTATTAAAATTAAAAATTGTTTATATTATTCATTATTATACTATTTTTTTTTTTTAAATTGTTTTTATAAAACAAAAATAAATATCTACCACCTTTAAGCACATGCTTGTGGTTGTGGTAGAGTATTATACCACATAATATGAACAATTGAATTATAAATAAGCAAAGCGGTCGGTCAAGAGCTGAATAATCAATCTATACAATTAGAATACTTATAAGTTATAACTAATACGGTAGACCAGGCATGTCAAACTCAAAGTATCAAGTGGTCCAAATAAATTGAGTAGCTTACTACGCGGGCCGCACATAAAAATTTAGCAAAAAAATAAATGTTTTGTACAAATTTTTCAATTTTATTCTTTATATGTTCACGAATACAGCAATATTACAACCATGGCTTGCACTTCAAAAAAAAAATTCCGTTGTACGTTATTTACGATTCAAGCCCTGATTACAACTAAATTAAAAAATACGACGAAATACGCGGGTCCCCTCCTATCTGCACCACCACATTTGCCGCCGGAGTAAAGCGGCTGCCCCTCGGGGCCATTCGGCCGATGCTTAGTACGTAACCACCGCAAATGTGATGGTGGATTAAAAAAATTAAGTTCAGAGTACAATATGTAGCCATAGGTAATAGCGTTATGAGTATTTTATAATAATTAAATTAATCCAAACTAGGTTTTTCCTCTGACTCGGTAACACGGAAAAAAAGGTATTTTATAATTTTAATAATATTACATTTTTTTTAATTTGTTTTCAATTAAGGTCTTTCTAACTGTACAATTTTAGTACCTACCACATAAAACGGTACAGCTATAAATAAGTATATTATACAAACTACTTAGTCAATATGGGAGATATGCTAATATAATATTATATATTTATATTAGAAAGAACAAATAACAGTGAATAGATTAATTTTAAATGGCACAATGTGTTCATCTATACAAATTACAACTACAGTCTAATGTCCACAGTCCATCGACAAAAATTCCTAATCGATAAATTGTTTGTCAGTAAGAAATCGAAAAAATAATCATTTCCGATAAAAATGTCAAAACTACGATGAGTCATACAATATTACACTATTATTATAGTTATTTATATTATTTTAAATCTCATCGCCTACGACATGACGTGTACTCTACTAATAACTATAATGTACATATATAATATATATTTAATACATAATTAATACTTAAAAATGATCAGCTAACATTTTGAAACCAACAATCGAAAATCTGAAATGACTCATCTACAAACATAACATATTATAATGACTACCGTGCGAATCGAAATTGAGTTGAATACCGAAGTAACGAATTTACGATTGTAATTTTGTTTGGTATAATAATAATATATTTTATTACAATTTTGGGCGGTGTCTATAATGTTAAACCTGATGAAATGTAAAAAAGGCCCAATCCGAAAATGTAAGCAAATTATATTTTTTAAACGTGAGTGGTGATTCGTTTAGAACTTCAATCCCTAAGTGTATTAAATTCACAGATTAACAAAAACAAAAATATTTTTAAAAAAACATTAAATATTATCGCAATAAGATATTTACACGAATGTCATATCAGCCTAACGCATATTTAGTTATAAGTTACAACACGCGTGAAGTAAAATACATTATTTATAAAAGTGACTCATTCGAAGGCATATAGTGCGGTACACTAATACATAAAAATGAATATTATATGTAAACTATATAGAAAGACGTGTAACGAATTCTTTAACTTAAGATTTGTATTGAAAAAGAATCGAAATCGGCTAAAATATGTTGAACAATATTGAAACTAAAAATCTTATTACAAAGGGCAATTTAAAACAAAATTACGAATTCTAATGCCGGGTTGCACCAAATATTTACACAGAGATAAACTCATTTAACTAAAGTTAAAATAAAATCTGTTGCATAAACCATGTTTTAAATGTTATCTGTTGTTAAAAATTTACTTTATCACCAGTTAAATTAGAGGGTGATTTATCGCCGTGTAAAATTTTATGTATGGTTAAATTTCGCTATCAATATTTTGTGGTCATTATTTAATATTGATAAATATATGATTCTATATTTTTATTTCATTGTAATATTATATTGTGTAATGTGTTGTGTTTTAATAGATTCTTAATTAGTTTTTAACTTAAATACTAATTTCTAACTTTAATTTTTTATGAGTAGTTCAGTAGAATTATCTTCATCAGATGATTCATCTGATGAAGAAATAGTTTTAGAAATAATTATGAGACTTCCAAAACCTAGAGTTGTTCGTGAGAGGTATAATCCTTTAAACAATTTTGATGATCATGAGTTTAAATGTCGGTTTAGGTGAGTACTTACATTATATATGTATATAATTATAATATATTTATTAAAATTGTATTCAGATTATCCAAACAAACGTTTTTGATATTGTTGCACATGATCGAAGATGAAATTATGCATCAAACGTGTTGCAATAATGCAATTTCACCAGTAAATCAATTGTTAGTGGCTCTTCGATATTATGCAACTGGAGCATTTCAGGTATGCTTTATAAATGATTATGAAATAACCTAATAATGAAATATATAACATATTAAATTCCTATAAACGAACTTAGGAAGTGATGGGAGATTTAATCCATATTCACAAATCTACTGTTTGCCGGATTATTAAACGTGTTTCTGTAGCAATTGCTAAACTTCGGCATCACTTTATTAAAATGCCAACCTCTCAAAATGAACAACATGCTATACAGTTGGGATTTTATAGAATGAGAGGTTTTCCAACAGTAATAGGTGCTATTGATTGCTCACACGTTCGAATACAATCACCCAATAGTGATATAGGGGAACAATTTCGAAACAGAAAAGGATATTTCAGCATCAATGTACAAGCAGTATGTACTAGTAATCTTGTAATTACTAATTTAGTTGCTAGGCAAGTAGTTATATAAAACAGCATGTAAAAATTATGTGTGAACATAAATTTATGAATTTTTTTACAAAACAATGTCATTAAATTTGTATTAGATGGCCTGGTTCTGTCCATGATTCAACAATTTTTGATAATAGCATGCTTCGAGCACAATTTGAAAATAATGAGTTTGGCAAGTGTGTTTTGCTTGGGGATGGAGGATACCCATGTCGAAGCTATTTATTGACACCTTTACTAAATCCACGATCAGAATCTGAGAGAAGATATCAGGTAGCTTAAAATTTTAATAAACTATTCAAATAGTTTTATTTTATTTTATATTATTATTATTAATATTTATTAATATTATAATATAATATTATATATATTTATTAATATTATACTATATTATATATATTTATTAATATTATACTATATTATATATATTTATTAATATTATATTATATTATATAATTCAAATGTAAAATTATGATTTCAGAAAGCACAAATAGGAACTAGAAATGTGATTGAGAGACTATTTGGAATTTGGAAAAGAAGGTTTCCAGTATTAGCTATTGGATTACGTACAAAGGAAGACACTACCATGGCTACAATTGTTGCAACAGCTGTTCTCCATAATTTATTAATCCAGGAAAATGATGTGATGCCACCAGAAGATATAGTTGATGACCAAGAATTGTTTCAAGAAATTACAACCTTACCAATAGCAAGGCAAAATGAAGTTGGGAATGCAGTGAGAACAAATTTAATAAACACTGTATTTCATATTTAAAAAAAAAAAAAAATATATGTAACTAAAGTAACAAAAAATAGAATACTCTTTTTCTTTAAAACAATAAACATAACATTTTACCTTTAAAAACATTAACATAACATTTTACCTTTAAAAACATTAACATAACATTTTACCTTTATAACATAAACAATAAACATAACATTTTACCTTTATAACATAAACAATAAACATAACATTTTATAAAATAAAATAACCATAAAGTAGTAAAACTATTGATGATAAAAATAATGTTTGTCAAATTAAAAAAAAATTAGTTGCTTCTTTTATTATTAAGTTCTAATAACAAAATTTGATTTTTTATTTCATTGTGTTGAACTTCTAAATTTTGTGTTATTAATTTTTTTTGCATAACTTCTTTTTCAATTTCTGTCGTTTCTAAAGAAATTTTAGCTTTTTTTATTTTAAGTTGATAGAGTTCTTTTTCCATATCCAACTTGGTACTTGATATTGTTGAACGTTGCTGAACAATCTTGTTTAATCCTTCATAAACTTTTTTTGATGAGGATAGAACTGATATATCTTTTGTTGTTTGTTTTTTTCTATTTTCTTTTTTAGATGTTGATTGAAATAAAAACGGATCAAACTCTTTAACCAAACAAAAAAATATTTTAATTATTTTGACAATATGTGTAACAATGATTAGGATTAAAATTAAAAATATCCAATTAATACCTGTATTGTTTTCATCCATTATATTTTTAATTTGATCTTCCACTAATGTTATGTCTTTGTAAACACCAGTGTCTAAAAAAAATAATTTAATTTATTGTATTTTAATGTATTAAAAAAAATTGAACAGATCATACCATCATACACAGGTTCAACGGTTAGAATTTTATAGCTATGATCTTCAACAGGACTACTTTCTTCAACAAGACTATTTTCTTCAATAGGACTATTTTCTTCAGCAGTCATAGCTAATTTGAAACATTAAATAGAAATTGTATTTGTGCCCAATAAATAAAATTAAATGCAATTTTTAAATTACTTCTGTATTCAGCGTCACAATCATAATTATTTTCTAATGGATCCATTTTATCCCCAAGTATACACATGACCTTTTCCTTAATTGATGTCAATGGAAGAGATGACTGCCCACCACCAGTTTTATATACTTCTTCCTAGTTTTAAAATTATTTTTATTATTTAAAATAAATTAAATAATTAATGTGGTTTGAAGAAGATACCTTGTGTTTACGTTTCGTTGTTTTTGCTTCTTTAATGTATGCTTTATACATATATTGTAGGTCTGATTTAGATTTATATCCAGTAGTAGTTTGACAGTTGTATGACTCTTGAATAGATTCCCAAATGCCATCAATTTTTTGTGGACACTCATTCTATTCATAGAAATTAAAAAAACAAATGATTAACTGTGGTTTTTAGAAAAGAGTGCTCCTTAAGAAAAAGTATTGAAGTACAATGTTTTAAATACTTTCCTAAAATTATAATCTATCTGTACCATAGGCACAAACAGGGGGGGGGGCTTTATTATACCATTATACTATTTCTTACATAATTTATGATAAATCACAACATTTTCTTACAGAATTTAAGAATAACAATATTTATTTCTAAGTTAAATAAAATATTTACTTGTTCAATAGTATATTTATGTGGCATAATTAAATCAATTAATATATTGGCATCAATTTCATCTACAGAAGATAGTAAAGTTTTATTATAATGTTCCTTGTAAATTTCAACCTAAATAAAAATTCAAGTCTTAATAACACTCATATTAAATATTAAAAATATTATTTAAAATACAATAATGTTCATACGTTTTTGTTTGATTTTTCTTTTTTGGTGTCTCTCTTTGTTGTAGCATAGCAAGTCTTTAACTGAGATACGTTTCGTATCCCAGAAAGTTGCCGTGTATTACTATTGTATTGTTTTAATATAATGTCCCATACTTCGTCCTTTTTGAATTTCCAAATATTATCAGTCTAAAATTTAAAACCCTTTTATAAATACAATGAAAATAATAACAATAATAATAATATAAATATATAATATGAGATATAACTTTACCTTAACATTTTCAACAATTTCTTTATATGGCACAACTAAATCTAACAAAAGTTTTCTCTCGTCTTCTGTAAAATTCTTCCCTCTATATTTCTTGTACATGGTCAGAAATTATACACAATAAAGTAAAACTTAAAGTAACGAAGGCACGAAATAAACTTTAATTCGAGCTTATAACAGACATTTTTAAATTATACACAAGTATAAATCAGTTTATCATTGATAAGATTCGATGATATGATTATGATGATAATATCAATTATCAAATTGAGGTACCATTTAATTGTTAACCAGTATTTTGGTAATAACCGAAATATAAAACAATGATTGTGCAACACTCTTAAATTTAACAAGTGTTAATTTAACTAACGTTTATTTATCATTAGATTAAAATTTAACACGAGGAAAAATAATTTACCGATAGATAACAATTAGTTTGGTGCAACCGGGTATAAATGTTTTAAACAAAAGTAGATAATTAATCTTGGGACCTCGAAATCAATGTCACCTACATGTTCAGGACAGTTTATATTATATAACCATTATAAACAAATTAAGAATCGATATAATCACCTCTTGTACACGGAGGTGGGATATTCACATATTCTATAACATAAATTATAATATTGTATAATAATATGATTCAGCGTTATAATGACACCATCTTAGTCGGAGTTATAATAATATATTAGTTGGGGTGACCAACGATTGTCGATGCTCAAAACAAACATTTTAATTTTAAAATATATCTATTTAAATTATATCAAAAAATAAAAATTCATTGGAAAACAATACGTGTAAAAATAATTAAAATTAAAATTCACAAACGCCACAAGTAGCTGTAGGTACGCGTATTATAAAATATTTATTTTTTTTTTATTGTAATATTTTATTTTTACATGTGTTGTTTTTTTAGTAAAATAATAATATTAGGTAATAATAGTACAACAATTAAATGCTGATTACAATAACTGGTATGACATTATAAAAATAATATTATTATCGTATTATACTTACGAGTTGCGAAGGCGAAATAGCGTAATTACAATTTTGATAACTAAAGTACCCATGTTAACGATCATATTAACCCACAGAACCACTCTAATAACGTCAATAAAGCAAACGAAACAAATATTGATACAACGTCTATATTATATTCCGAAAAATGATTTGAAAATAACTATAATTGCACTAATAATTATTAAAAAATGAAATCTTTTAATCGTCAAATAGCTATAATGTTTAGGTCGAGTAAACAAACTGATAAGGGATCTGTGTAAAAAACTGACAATTCCATTTTAGAAAAATATTCTGTGTAATAATTATTATTTTAAAATTTTTTTTTATGGGCATTCCAAAAAAATCTCTACTATAATATATGCGTATAGTTGTTGTAGAACATATATTAGAGATTTGAATAGGCTTAATAATAATAATTATTATTATTATTAATATTATTTTATTGAATATTTTCTAAAACGTAGTTGTCTGGATTTTATAATTATTATTATTAATATTATTTTATTGAATATTTTCTAAAACGTAGTTGTCTGGATTTTCCTCAGTCTTGCGGTTTATCTAATTGACTTGGCTGCTATTTGACGATCAAAAGTATACATTTTTAACTGATTTAAAGGGAGTTTGTAATTTGCACCAAAATTAGTATCTTTACATCAATTCGATTGTCAAGTGCCTATTGAATTATTCGTCGGTATTCTCATTTACACATTGACACACAGTGATATAAAAGATAATTCAAGCAGTCCGATTCTGTTATGATATTGTTTTTTTTTACAGTTATTATATTATATTGTTCAATACATAGGTACTATTGATGGAATATTATTTGTTTATAATAGTTTTTTTTTTTTTTTTTATACTCACTATATAGTATTTATACTATATTATGTAGTCAATAGATTAATAGTTTTAGTGGATTTTGAATTTTTGAGCAATGATACTTACATTTATAAATAATTTATATTTAACTGCTTTAAATTATTTTGGAATAAAATAATGTAATTGTTATAACACAATAATTGAGCTTTTAAGTTATTATATATAGACTTACCGTCGCACCGTCGAAAGGTGTAAAATGGGTAAGTGAAATAACTATTCAAAATCTATATAAATGAAATATCCTGGGGATTTACCTTCTCATATCTCAATATATTTACACTTTAGGTATCGAAATTTGTACGGAAGGATAATGTATTTTACTTACCAATATTGGACACCAATTTTAATTTCCGGTTAAAAGCGTTAAAACCCGAAATCCATAAAAAATACGTATTTTACAGAATTTCGATATTTTCGCTGTTGAAAGCGAACCGTTTTTAAGGGGTCGAGTATAGACTATTCTACGTTCTCGCAGGAGGGTTGTGTGACTGTGTGCGTACATAAACGGTATGATCATTTTTTTATGCTTCAGATTTAACACCACTTACCATATATTCATACTATTTATGTTTTAAGGATGTACAAAAATGTTTTCCTATGCTAAACAAGTTGGTAAGTGTCATCTGTTCTATCTTAATTTATTTGTATAGGTACTAAATGTTAGCAAGGAATCACAAGTTCGATGTTTTTATAGTACTTGCTTAACAGTATTATGATTATTTCTGGTGTATTGTTAGGTAAGGTGACTAAAGTAAGTACATTTTACCTGGTTTTAAAATTAGTTATGTACCTACTTTAAGTCAAACTAGTTTTATTTTTATTTTGGGCCATCACATTATTGTCTAACTCGTCCAAATGTTTAAATGTGTTTATAAGTCATCTATATATTATATTACTGAGTATGTAAATAAAACATGTATTTCTAATATAAAATAACAACTACCTGAAGCTAATGCATATTGTTTCAGAACACGTATGTTAATTTTTAAAAGCCGACGATAAGAATGATGATGATTAATAAACCGGTTACAAAACATATACCTATTTGATACATAAAATTATAATATTTCACCCTTAATTAAAATGCACTCTACGTACTAATAATTGGTTCTATAATAGAATAATTATATTCAATAACCAAAAATTAGTTACCTACTTTAAGTCAAACTATTTTTATTTTTATTTTTTAGAGAACGTTTATTTCGGACCATCACCTCTTATAACTGTCAAATACCATTAATTATGATAGTTAAATTAAAAATCATACTTTATTAAATAAGACGATTTTATATTGCCACCTATGATTTATATTCCCTATATTATCTATCTATTTATAATATGTCTTATTAAATATACTAATAATATCTTTCTAATAATGTTTCTATAATATTATATTATATATTAATAAAATTTCACTATAATTGTAGGTATACTTATTTGTTTATATCAATGTATGCAAGTGTAATAAATTTAATATGTTTTAATTTAAATTGTACAATATAGCAGTTAACTTTGTGTATAAACAACAATAGGTTAAGGATAGAACAAATATCTGAAGCAGTAACAAATTAGTCTAAAGATGTGTAGTAGCCACACTGAAGTGGCGTCAATGCAAGACCACTTGTTTTTGGTGCAGGGGCTAAAATACTGTGGCAATTTAAAATTAAAGTGTGTCTCCTGAATGACAAATGTGTGTCGAATAATTATGTTTAAGGTAAGTGTTATATAAAAAAAGGAGGAGTTTTGGGTGTTACATCCCCCACAAATTACTTTGCTTTAGAAATCTGTCAAAGCTCAAAGGTAACATTAAAATTAAGAAGTGTGTAACCCTGATATCAGATGTATTTCAAAATAGAAAAATAGCCATGTCTTAATGTTCATTTATAATACAATGTTGATTATTTTAAATTTTATTGTTCAAAATTAAGTGCTAAAAAATAAAATACCTATATCAAAAATTAAAAAAATAAATTAAAATATCTCATTGCTATAAATAGTGTGATTTTCCGGTGAACTCTTTCTTTTTGATAGAGGTAAATAAACTTGTTGGGAACCTTCTATTAAAATGTCTTATGTTATACATTTCATGAGTCTACGGTTAGGTATTCGTTTTGGAAATACAACAAAATATCAAAAATTTTACAGCTGAATATTAATTAAAAGTTAGAATTATAAGTCCAAAAGCTCATTTTGTCTTTTAATTTAATTTTAATGTTCTGTTTAAGTACATTTTTTTTTTGTTATAACAAGAAAACTTATTTGAAATCTTCTATTAACATTTTTAATCTTAGGTACGAAAAGAAAATGAATATGAATTTCTTACGGAAAAGTAATTTAAAAAATTTAAAAAAATGTCTTATGGCTACATAGCTCAAAAAGAGTCAAAATTGTTTAAAAATATTCTTTTACAGTTCATCCAAATCGGATCATAAAATAACTATAAAAAACTACGTTTTTGTATTTTTAAAATTTTTTGGTTACAGAATAACCTACCTACGGGAACCTTGTTTTAAAATTTCAATCCTTGGCTATAAAATTTGAACATTTTATAAGCTTGTATCAACAAAATAAACTTTAAATGATTATAAAAAGAAATTTACATAATGCCTATGAATTTTTAATATTTTTCAACTACTATTGTCCCAATATATCAGGAGCTTCTATTAAATTTTCAAGCTTTTTGAACCAACGAATAACATTTTATTTGCATTTATAGAAAAAAAAAACTATAAAATGTGGGTAAGTGGATGTCATTCTGCTGTATAGGATGTTATAAGTGGGTCACTGTATAATGGATTAAATTAAATGATATAATATCATTGTATCGTATCATAGGCACGGAAAACGATTCTGAGAGGAGACTGTATGTCAGTCTGGATATTTTATATTGTTATTTTTTTATTATAGCCTATAAGTAACTTGAATTATACATTACAACAAAATAACTAAAATAATTATTTTCATTTTTATTTTTATTAGTTTCTATGGTGATGAACAAATCGAAATTAAAATCCCATTTTTAGTGGATTTCGTAATTTGTCAGTGAAATTTCCCATGGAATTAATGTTTACCATTCATTGTTAATTTAAATTTAAATATTTTAAAGGTCTGTGGTAATTATTTTTTAAGTTACACCAACAAAATAAAATCGATTTTTTTCAAAAATTGGTTTTGCATAGAAATTACTAATTCTTTTTGTCTTGCTTGAATCTTTATAAATTTACATGGAAATTTCAATTTTTAAGGAACAACTAGATTCACTTTTCTATCATATCTGCAGAAAAAATATTATTCTCGAAAATCAGAAAATTTTTATTATCCAAATTGTTGCTGACAGAATATAAATTAAAAAAAACACACATCTTTCTAAAACAAAACATTCATTCGCTCCGCTCGGAATCTAAGATAATATTCCAAATATTGTATTTAAAATACTTTTCAGTGTTTATTTTAACTTTTAAATATTAAACAGTGGTACTTGTCTTCGGAAAATCTAAATTAGCTCTAACGTTATATTAGTATTATTATACTTTCAGTTTCCACGTATTAGTTATAATATTATAAAAAATACTTTGAGTTTGAGTAAGATTATATTCAACGAAAAAAATTTAAATAATACTGATAGTTATAGATATATTAAAAAAATTTCAAACAAATTAAACGAATCTATTTAGTTTAATATTTAAATGTTATAGTTAAGAAATATAAACAAAACATTTTCAAAGTTGTGATCACTGATTTTTCCTATTTTTTTTTTTAACACATCAGCGCCAATACTATAGATTCGTTATGCACTACTGTACAGTATAGTGTGTTAAACTGTATCAATGTTTTTTGAACGTAGGAGTTTCAATTGAAAATTAAGTTTTTTGTTTGGAATTTCGGACAGAATTAATAGTGTTGTGTTCTAAAGAAAATCAAATTTAAGTGTATTAATCAACGAATCAAAAAAATTTTCTCTTTCCATCTTTTTAAACAATATCTTACAGTCAACGTTCCAACTTTTCTGAGAAAGATACTTTAAAAAAAACTTAGTGCTCTATCATTTATATCTTCATTTGTAAGCCATGAGTGTTGAAATATGGTTGGGAAATGGCTGCAGTGTATACATTTATTTTGATAGATCTTATATAAGTTTGACAACAGTACAAGTTTCAGTATTAAATAATAATATTAATAGTATTGTTGCTAAATAAATAATAAAAGTTTAATTTGTATTTTTGACTTTGTTCGATCAAAAACAAATTTCGAATAAAATTTGCCATCTATTTAAAATAGATTCACAGAGAGTTAGTTTTTGTTACATTTTTAATTTTGTTTACAATGTGCTATAAAAAAATCTAATCATTTTTTAACATAGCACAATACCTCCTTGATATTTTTCCTCTGAATTATTCAATGATTGTGTTCCGATGAAAATACGCATAATAGGCATTAATTAATAATTTAATTTATATGTCTGTTTTAATTATACAGATTGTGGCCATAACTGCGGGGAGGGGTCCAGAAGTCAGGGCCCTCGACGTTTTTTAAAAGTAGAAAAATTCTAGCCATGAATATTTCTTATTGACTACCTTTTGTATTAACAACAGTTTTATATTTTCGTTAAAATTTAAAGCACTAACAACGAACACAAAGGGTTTTGAACCTAAAAATTATGATTAATTTATTACTGATGTACAATCATTACAAGACCTGTCAACTTGTTCCGGTTTCCTCCACACGGTTGGGTTACATGTAGGTATACACGTCTTACACAACACATTCACAGAAAACTGAAAACATTTTTAAATTATCCTGAAATTTCGGGAGGGCTGCATCCCCCTCAGCCTATGTACGCCACTGATGAACACATATAAAAATTAGGCACCTAATAATTATCATTAGCCATATATAATATGTTTTATGTATACATAATAATAAATAATAATATAATACATTTTGAAGCTGATGATATGTTTCTGATTAATAATGTTAAAGCAAAGTTTGTCAACCCCTAACAGGACAAAATGTTCCTTTGAAAAAAAACTTTACAAGAATAACTTTGTTATGTTTTTAAATTGTTTATTTATTTTATTTTGTCAATTGTATATTATAAATTATCATAAAAATATATAATGTTTCTTAAAGATATTTTCTTTATTATTATTCAAATTCTGTAATATGTTAGGTATAACCCTGTTAGGTAGGTACCTAGGTAATTATAAAAAATTGTGATATAGTTAATATTCCTGTTTTAAATTTTAATCTTTGACAGCGTGTACAGTTATAGGAAGATATTTCAAAATTATTTCTCCTGTATTTGGACATATTTCAACCATTTGTTTCTCGCGTATTGTATCGCTAACATGTATGGCGTATCTGTCATGTAAATGTTGTGGCAAATTGCTATACATATCATCTACAGCTCTGACGGCATCTAATAAACACAAATGAAATATAAGTCAATTAATAATAATAAAAACTCAATTCTATATAAGGTAGTTTATAGTTTTATAGTATACAGTATTTCTATGTAGTACTTCGTTGAAGTTTTTCGTCACCAAAAAATCCAATCCAAGAAAATCTATTTCGAGTACCTACCTAATGATTGATTTTAGATATGAAAACGAATTTGATTGGAATGTAATAAAATAACTTAACTTAACTTCTTAGAATCAAAATTCAATCATCGTTGATTCTAAGTTAATAATTATTCAATCAAGTTAAATTATTTGTTAAATCAACAGAAACCTAAAATTAACTCGTTCATTCCCAGCCTTGCAGATACATAATATTACACTCAGTAATTCAAAATCTAATCTAGTGTATGGTTATTATTGAATATCTAATGTAAAACCTGAAATAAATCCATAAAAAAACATAATAATAAAATATAAATAAAATTATACAAAAACATTGACAACTAAAAAGGTTTTCTACCACTGCCCTTACTAATTATTAATTACTAATTAGGTACTATACAAAAATAAACTAACATATTGTATATGAAATACTATATTTTGTAGAATCTTGAATATCTATTCGATTTTAATTTTTCTTACCAAATTCATCAAAATCTCAAAAATGTGAAAATTATTTTGTAGTTAAAAATGTTAAAAATGTGAATTTATTTGAATAGTTAAGGATTGAAAATTTAATACAAAGATTTCCATAAAAATTTAATACTGTAACCAAAAAGTTTAAAAATATATAAACACAGTTTTTTTTATAGATATTTATTTCAAATTTGGAAAAAATTAGTTATTTAAACGAAGAATAATGATTTTAGTTATTTTGTTTTAATTTCAAAATATTATTCGTAGATACTTGAAACTTTTAAAGTACCCTATACAAAATGAAATGTATTCGACAAAAATGAATTAAACCTTCTGTTATACTATTAGTACAAATAAATTACTTATCTATATAATAAATTTATAACAAATGTGAAATGCTTGTACATTTGATAACAGCAGGATTGATTTTTCTTATTTTTTTTTTTTGAATGTTTGCAATAGTCCGATTAATGTTTTTACTGACAAAAAAATTGGAAAATTTGAAAAAAACTGAAACGTTTTTTTTTAAATGGTTTTTTGTATAGGTAAGTTTAAATAGTTAGCATTGGTTTCCTAATATTATAATATAGCAATAATAGCAAATTAGTAGAAATCAGTTTTTTCCTTATAAATGGTTGACACAGATTAAATACTATAGTATTATTTATCGGATATAATAATTTAAACTTATAATTTAAATATTTGTTCACTATTTTCTGGGTTAAAAATAAATTCTTTGACACATAAGGTGATTATAGTTTATTTTTTTCAATCCTTATAAGGCTATACCCGGGTAGCAGGCAAGGCTTGGAAAGTTAATGATATTTTTCAACTCAGTCAAGTTTAGTTAAGTATTTTTTTTTCAATTAAAATAAATTTAAGATAATAGACATTTTTAATACATCACTTAAAATTGGTTGTAGGACACTTTGTACGGTCACCCACAAAAAATGAAAACCGCGGACAGTTTGTACTATTTCAAAAAGTAATTAAATAAATATGGCGGACAGTTTGTACTATTTCAAAAAGTAATAAAATATACATGGTGGACAGTTTGTACTATTTAAAAAAATGTTTAATTTGTTATTACAAAACACATATATAAAAAAATAATAATAATAATAATATTTATGGTAATAAATTCGTGGTATGTATTTTTAAAAAATTCACTGTCACATAAATCATAATATATATATTTAAAAATTAAACGTATGTCAAATTATTTCGAGCAATTGTAAATTAGTTATTATTTTACTTTCATGCTGTACACAGGCATCACGAATTTTCTATTGTGTATTTTGGTTTTTATTTCTTGTGTTTTTGTTCAAATGACTAGAGCATTCGTCTAATTGCAAAGACCGCAAAACAGTCCAGAAACTTGGATTAACCGATCCAACCAATTTATTGAACGAACTGTTCTGTGTGAGTTCTTAATTGTTTGGTGTCTATCAGTTTGCTAGTTTGATTTTTGTTCATTTTATATAGTGAATAAGTTAATATTTTAATACTTTTAATGCTGTGGCCTTTGACACCAAACACATGTCTCATACTAATCGCGATCATGATTCGCAATCTAAAGTTTTGAGCAATTAAATTTTATCTCATCTTTTAAGGTATATTTTCCGGTTTATTTATACCGTACAAAACGTCCGCGATCGAATTTTACCAATTTATTATCACCGTACAAAGTGTCCGCGATCGATTTTTACCAAATTATTTTCACCGTACAAATTGTCCGCGATATGCAACTCAAACAATAGATAGTACAAACTGTCCATTTACCCTTAAAATTAAGTAAGTCAACCACAACTGTACAGTTATTTTAATTTAAAAAAAAATGAATTAAAAAGGTATTAAAGTTAGTTATAATCACTTATGTAATATTATAGGGATTAAAGTTAAGAAGGTGCACTGCTGTACAGTAGGTTACAAGTTTGTCACTGTATAATGAATGGTATTAAATTTGAATTCAATGATATAATATCATTGTATAAGTAAAACAATTCTGAGTGGAGACGGTATGTCAGTCTAGGTATAAGACATATTATATACATATCTATGGTATTAAAAAAAAAATTAACCTATAATTGGTACCTAAGATAAATTCCAAATTAATACACAATATCCAATAGGTACTTATAACGCGTTAAACATAAAAAAAAACCGTGATACTGTCATAGATTTATAGTAGTATACTTTAGAAGTTTCCAGTACAAACGAATAATATTATACAATCACCACAAAATAACTAAAATAGTTATTCTAGGTTTTTTAATTTCGTCCAAATTTGAACTTAAAATGACTATAAAAAAAGACTGTGCTTGTCTTTTTTTTTAGATTTTTTGGTAACAGAATTAACTACTTGCATGGAATATTCTTTTAAATGTTCAATCCTTAGACATAAAAGTTGAACATTTTATACATTTTTAACTACAAAATAATTATTCGATATTAAATTTGATAAATTTTGTCAAAATTTGATCTTTAAATGCTTATGAAAAAAAACTGTGACTAAGGATTTGTAATATTTTTCATCTGCCTTTGAATCAATATACTAGGAGCCCTCTATTAAATTTTCAAGCATTTTTAACCAACAAATAAAATTTTATTGATATTTATAGGATAAAAATTAAAAAAAATTGGAAACTGAAAATGTCCCTTAACAGCTCAAAATAAGTCAAAATTGTTTTAAAATTGTATAGTGTATAGGAAATGCTAATATAAATATTCATTGAAATTATCATGTATCTACAGTCATTCGTTTTTAAATTACAACAAAATAAGGAAATCGCTACATGAGAAATCGAGTGAATATCCAATGTTGTAAAAATTTGAATTTCAATCGCTCATAAAAATTTAATTTAACTTTCTTATAGACATTTTTTTTTTTGATAAAGTAGATAATCTTATAAGAAATCTTGTATTACATCTTAGATTTAAAAAGAAAAATGTTTACGAACTCTTAACTTCAAAATTGTTAAACCAGCACTTGTAACAATAGCATATTTTATAAACGGTAACAGTAAAGGATATATTCTATTATTATTTATTATTTATAATAAACCGAAAATTAAACACAATATTCACTTGAGTTTTACAATATTATGTTTAATTAATTTTAAACAAATGTTTTCAATTCATGTTTTAAATATTACAACCCTGATTATAATAGAATTACCTCAAATATAGGATCTACATTTTTATATAATTATATTTATATATAAAAAAAATAATACTAGCGGCGCCAGTTAGTAGTGGGACAGCTAGTAATATAATAAAATATAATGTATTCATTAATATAGACCGTCTTCGATCAGAATCGTTTTTCGTATACAATTATTTTATAGTATAGAATTAAAACTCAACATATCCATTACACTATTACAATGAACCACAAGACACCTAACATAGAGCAGAGAGGTACTCACTTGCCCATTTTTTTTTAATTTGTATTTACATACATTCATATTTTATTGTGACGTATTTTATACATTCATAAATATATTTCAGTTGTTACATTTTAACTGTAATGATAAATTAGTTTAAACTTTAAGCTACAGAGTATAATATCATTTATCTATGCGATCTTGTATATTTTTGATTTTTATCGTTCTGCGAAATAACCCCGGAACAATGTTTAATACAATGGAAATAATACGAATATTTGAATAAAATATGTACTTTTATAACTTAATATACTTACGAACAATTAAGTTTTTCTCATTATTGAAACGAAGTTTTTTATGGCACGATGTGGGGCTACTCGGGAAAAAAAACGTTCCTCACGAAATACTATTTTTTATAATATATTAAACAGTTATTTTACCCAATACATCCAATTTTCATTCCATCATACTGATCGATCTAGTTACGCGATAATACTTTTTAAAACAGATTTGAATTCGTTTTTATGTCTACTTAACATTGGTCAGTCAACTTTTCTCAATTTCACCCCCCCCCCTCACCCAACCACTAAAAGTTTGGCTTGAATATTTTGAAATTTCGGAATTTTCAAACGTTGAATATTCTGGATTTAGAATTGGTCGAGGCGTTGGAAAACGACCTTAGAGGGCTGTAAATTGGGAATCCCCATAGGACCGTGAGAAAAAGTGAAAATCCTCAAATCACGTGTATTCCATGCGACCATGCACAACCAGACACTGAAATCTATACTATAAACTTTTGGTTACATCTTATATACATATTATAATCTCCTTGCATGACGCGTAAATATTTTTATTTCATGAAATGGTTTTCGTAGAACAGGTAATCTGATTGTTGCATATATCCCTATATGGTGCTTTACCTTTGCCGTGATTACATTTTTTTGTGTGTCGAGTTATACGAACAGTTGACTACATAATGAAGTGTCCAAGCGTTAAGTTAAATAATAAGCTGAGTCAAAAGAAAAATATGGACAATTTGAAAATGAATAACAGTATGAGCCTATACCTGCAGACTCGTTGTTAATATAATATTAAAGAAGTTAAAATAAAGTTCTTCGATGGAGGTTAATAATAATTATGATACAAACAGATTATTAACATTATATAATATTAACGAAAAAATAAAATAAAATATAAACGAACTAACTAACGAACTTGAACTAAAAAAAATAATCTATTTCTTAATACGATTTTGAATTCAAAAGTATTTGGAAAAGATCGAGTTATCATGATAAATTATAAAATAAATCGATATAAATTTTTTTTTCATATTTTTGAGTTTTTAATGGACCATAATATTAAATATTTTTTAAAGGACATTTTAACGATTTCAGGAGCATATTATTATAGTTGCAAATATACACAAAAATACCCAATAATATTCATTATATAATTAAATTCTCGATTTTACGTAATTGTATCTATTAGCGTATTATTCTATTCAGTGAACAATTTGAAATAAATAATAAATCAAAGTGCATGATATTACGATCCACGGCAATGTAAGATATAATTGTAAACAGATAAGTATAGGTAGGTATTGCTAAGAATCATTGTCGTTGTCTCTTTTGAGTTTTGATCGTATAAAAAAAAAAAAATAATAATAAATACAAGTTGTCATAATTACCTAAACATGATGAGTAGTCTGGATATGTATATGTTTTAACACTTGATTCCATGTTGATAATTCGAAATCCAGCCTTGATGAACATTTCTCTCAAATCGTCTTTGGAAAATGAATCTTGTGACATCTGCTTTACATCCTGCAGAGCGCATGAAATCGATTTAAAAATCAATTTTAAATATCGATAAAAGTAGTTAAAAAACCCCTCCACGAAATCAAAAGTATTTAATATCAAAATCGATATGTAAAATAATTCTATTATACATTTATATCAAAATAAAAAAAATCAAAGGACGATTTTACCAATAAAAATTTGTTTTATTATGTTTATATACTAATCGATTCAAAATGAAAAATACATTTTTTTTAAATTTAAAATTTAACAATAACCAAAAAGTCAAAAGGATATTGTGCGTCAGTAGGTATTTCAGTATTTTTAGGACCATTTCACAGGATCGCGTAATTTCGCATAAATGAAAATCGCAAACAACGATCCTCTGCACGTAGATAGAAATCAAAATTGAAATCGTAAAAATTAAAAACCGAAACTAAATCGATAAAAAAATATAGATTATGTTTAAAATGCAATTAAAAATTAGAAATGTTGAGAAAATATAAAAATCAATACATTTTTTTTTTTAAAATTAAATTAGGAAAATCTAATATTAAAGATCGAATTTGAAATTTAATCAAAAATTTCATTTCGAAATTAAGCTTTGAATTATCCTGTATACAATTTCTTAAAATTTTATATTAGAAGCTGAATTTGTAAAGGTAGGTATCACTTAAATTATAATTTTAAAATATTTTATTTTGTTTGACAATTTTAAAAAGTAAGAACAAAACCAAAACATTAAATTATTTGGCTTAATTTTTTTTATATTATTACATTAAAATAGTAAATCATTTTATTCATCAAAACAAAACTTTTGAAAAATGTGCATAAACAGGTACCCACTTTAATATATTGTTGCCATTCTTCGTCCATAAATTTATACAATTCGACCAACGGATTGATTAACAAGAAGTTAATCAAAATTTCTCCACCGCTTTTCAACATCAAGTGCATATTAAGCAAGGAATCGAATTTATTATGAATCCAGTGAAAGCAGAAAAATGAAAATATTTTGTTGAATCCGCGAGAATAAGAAGAATCGCAGTCGTTGGTGTTTTCGATATCCAGAGCTTTGAAATTCATATCGGAGCGTCCAAAGGAATTTTTAGCATATTCTACCATTTCTACGGATTTGTCGACGCCAATCTATCAAAAACGAAATCGATATAGGTAAATAAATATTAAATATAACACCTAGGTATACAAATTGTTTAAACAAATTATATGATATTATTATTTCGAGCAATTCAAATCTCATACACACCAACTGTTTGATTTTATTTTTCAAAAAAGGATAAAGAATATCCGACGTCACGTCACCCGGTCCACATCCTATGTCCAAAACCATTTCGTTCGACGTCCACACCATTTTCTCAATATACGCAGTCAAAGCATCCTTGGCTTCCCTCTGCTGTATTCCGTTGTTTTTGACGTACCGCTCCGGGCAATGCATTTCGACAGACTAAAATCGTTCTCCGATGGAACTGCCTCTTTTTATAGGTACATTATTTTCAAACACAAGCACACTACATGGTCCAAGGTATAATAATATTTTAATATATTATAATAGTATATAATAGTATTATATATTATAATTCCCACCCAACGCGGAGATTCTTAAAATCATGATTTCCATAACAAACACGATATTGTTGTGAAACAAGTGTCAAACTGGTGTATTTGTGTACCAAAGAATCACCGTCCGGGTATCTACAGGTATACTTATTTGTATAAGGAACCTGATTTAAATATTATGTGTAAGGAGACATTTTCATAAACGACGAGTCAGTCGTCGATGTTATCTCAGAAATAGATTCTTTAGTATACATATGTAAATTAGTATTATACCTACCAACCACCTGGCTATATACCTGGCTTGTAGTTTATAAATTTAATGTTTACACAATACTACATATACGAGTTAGTATTATGAAGTGTCATCTTCTCATATTATGCTTATTTCCATTGTATCGTTGCTCTATAGAAATGTAAATATTAACATATATTTTGTGTGGGTAATATTATAATAGTAGATATAAAGAAATGTACATTTCACAAATATTGTAAAAGTACAAAGAACGTACGATTATATATTATGATTTTATTTTTACATTCTTTTTTTAATGTTCTTACTTTAGGCATTACCTATTATAATATTATTTATACCTTTAATAGTTAACCATCATTTACTCAAAAGGTTTCAATTATTATTTCAGTTTTCAACAACAATATAAGTCGAAGAGTAAACTAATTATTATTTTTATTCTCTAGATATTAATCATAATACATCGCACCTCTTCGCCATTGACGAATACTGTTAAATGTATTCATTATATATTTTAATTCTTTGATAGTATAATAATACTTAACTAGAATATTATAATCATCTGGGATTTCAATAATATATTTTATTAAGGCACCCGGAGCCAATGTAATTATGTCTACAAAAATACGCTCTACGGTAATTATTATTATTCCGTCCTGTACAATCATAAGCCAGTCTGATAATTTTTAATTTTTTTTTTAAACTAATATTCTAATAGTCTTTAAAAATAGTACAATTTTAAGCTTTTTATTTTATAAACTATTTTATACTATGATTTGAAATAAAATAATAAAACAGAGTTCAACGCGGCCTGTAGGAAGTCGTCTTGTTTCAAATGATGTGCATTACTAAGGTAAATAAAATTGTAAAATACGTTACGGTTAATGACAAAAATTTTGATATTTACGTTAAAGCCCCGTCAATATTTAATTGACTTTCTTATAGAAATTTTTTTTTTTGACAAAGGTAGATAATTGTACAAGGAATCTTGTATTCGATTTTAAAATCTTAGATTTAAGAAGAAACAATTTTTACGAATTCTCAACTCAAAATATTTTGCTAATATTCGTGATTTTTCTTTATTTTATCAATTTTTGAACTTTAAATGCTTATAAAAAAACTGTGACTAAGGATTTTTAATATTTTTCATCTGCCTTTGAAACAATATAGTAGGAGCCTTGTATTAAATTTTCAAGTATTTTTACTCAACAAATAAATTATTATTGATATTCATAAAAAAAAAAACTAATAAAATTGGAAACTTAAAATTTCAATAAACAGTTCAAAATAAATCAAAATATTTTCAAATTGAAATGCAAATATAAGCAACCAGTGAAAATTTCATGTATCTACGGTTATTTGTTTTAGAGTTACTCCAAAAACTAAAATTGATTTTGTCGAAAACTATTTTGCTTAAAAATTCCCATTTTTCCTTAATTTTTATTTGGTTATTCTAGGCGCTTTTAAAACTATTGGACTTTTAAATAATGACCTTCTGAATGAACCAACTGTATTTACTTTCACATTGATTGAGATAGGTAGGTACTGTTGAAGAAAATCGAAGCAGATTTACTGCCCCAAATACTGTGATGACAGAATCAAAAAAAAAAAATGTTTAAATGTAGAAAAAAACACATCATCCACACATTAAAAAAAGCTTGAAAATTTAATAGAAGGCTCCTAGTATATTGTTTCAAAGGTAGATGAAAAATATTAAAAATCCTTAGTCACAGTTTTTTTTTTATAAGCATTTAAACTATTTTAAAGTTTAAAAATTGAAAAAATAATGAAAAATCACGAAAGTTAGCAAAGTATTTTGAGATGAGAATTCGTAAAAAATTTTTCTTCTTAAATCTAAGATTTTAAAATGAAATACAAGATTTCTTATAAGGATTGTCTACCTTTATCAAATAAAAAATGTCTATAAGAAAGTCAAATTAAATTTTTATGAGAATTTTAAATTCAATATTTTTACAAAATTCACCTCGATTTCTCATGTAGCGATTTCCTTATTTTGTTGTAATTCAAAAACGAATAACTCTAGATACATGAAAATTTCACTGAATGTTTATATTAGCATTTCCTATACACCATACAATGATGAAAATATTTTGACTCTTTTTGAGCTGTTTACGGACATTTACAGCTTTCAATTTTTTTTATTTTTTTTTCTATAAATATCAATTAAGTTTTATTTGTTGGGCCAAAAAGTGTAATAATTTAATACAAGGCTCCTGATATATTTTTACAATATCAGTTGTAAAATATTAATACATAAGCACAATATTTTTTTATAAGCATTTAAAGATCGAATTTTGACAAAATGTATGAAATTTAAAAGTGAATAATTATATTGTAGTTAAAAATTTTTAAAATGTTCAACTTTTATAAGTAAGGATTGAAAATTTAAAACAAGATTCCACATAAATAGTCAATACTGTTACCAAAAAATCTAAAAAATACATAAGCACAGTTTATTTTTATAGTCATTTTAAGTTCAACTTTGGACAAAATTACATAAAAAAAAACCTAGAATCACTATTTTAGTCATTTTGTTGTGATTGTGGGAACTTAAAACTTCTAAAGTACACTATTTTCTATATATATAATAATATCAGGGTTTGTTGTTGATGTATAACGCGTTATAAGTACAAAATGGATATTGTGATATGATTAATTTGAAATTTATTATAGGTACCTATTATATTTCAATTTTTTTTTAATACCATTATAAATATGTATATAATATGTGTTATACCTAGACTGACATACCATCTTCGCTCAGAATCGTTTTTCTAATACAATGATATTATATCATTGAACTCAAATTGAATACCATCCATTATACAGTGACTCACTTGTTACCTACTGTACAGCAGAGCACCATTTTTTTAGTTTATTTTTCTATAAATTTCAATAAAGTTTTATCGGTTAGCGAAAAAGTGTAAATATTTAATGCAAGGCTGCTGATATATTGTAACAATATCAGTTGAAAATTTTTAAAAATACATTGGCATAATCTTTTTTTATAAGCATTTAAAGATCGAATTTTGACAAAATTTATCAAATATAAAATTGAATAATTTTATTTGTAGTTAAAAATTTATAAAATGTTCAACTTTTATATCTAAGGATAGAAAATATACAAACAGGATTCCACGTAAATATTTTATACATAAATTACTTTATTCACAATCACAATAATATCATCAAATACACTTGGCAATATCATAGACGGACTGATCGTATTCGTTCAGAATCGTTATTCTTAAACAATGATATTATATCATTGAATTCAAATTTAACACCATCCATTACAATGACCCAATTGTAACCTTCTGTAAAGCAGAGTGACATCCACTTACCCACCTTTTTATATTATATTTTATTTTATTGCGTTGAAAACGCCTTGTGAGGTTGCATTGTGCCAAAGTGGTTGAAACACCAAGTTCCAACCTCTCGCGTTTCAACCGCTGTGGTGGCTCTAAAAATCATGAGTATTAAAAAGCCGGTTACACATCAGACGAATAAAACACATACAATAAAAAACTTATTAGGAATCTTGCATACATGTATAATGTATTAATGTGTATGATGTATGTAGATATTATAACAATTAAAATTTAACATATCATTTTATTTTATATGACTTTAGGTTGTGCTATTTATTATTAAATATGTATATATTACCCATCTATACATATATTCCGACAGTATTAAGTCATTATAATTCCAGGCCCTCAATTAATAAATATTATTTTATATACTTTATATCGACAATGGACGATTATATTATAATATATACTAGTTGCTTGCGTAAATTAGATGAAAGTGTAAATTAATTTTTTGACACATTGAAAATAATGATTAGGCGCCTATACATTTGTTATAACATTCACGTTTTTATATTGCATACATTTATAACTACCTAGCTAATAACCACAAGATAATAGGTAAAATTACTTTAATATTAAAAACGACGACTAAGATATTAATATACTAGATATACATATATGAGTATACTTGATACTACATATTCTATCATTAAAATACAAAAATAATGTATTAAAAATACGGAGTGTATTTCTACAGTTAACTTTGAATTTCTGTACTTACAGTTTATTTCAATGTATATTAATATGTAGTAATCATTAAATACGTTTATTATTATCATATTATAATAAAAATAACAAGAAATACTAAAATACTATTTGATTTGAAAAATAAAAAATTGAATATAATACGAAATGAAAAGTGTCTTTTAATATACTTTGGTCCGTTGCTTTTCTCGTTTTCATTTGATAACTTTTTATAAAACTCATAATACTGCTCTCGAATTAAGTTGGAATGGAGATGAATTTATAAACTTCTAAACTATACCCTTTGGTAATCACTTATTTTATTTTAAATCAGATGTGCCCAAAATAAATATACAAATGTATTGAATTAATTCCATGGGATTTTTGAAAAAAAAATTTAATTGAAAATCCGCTTCATATAAAACCTATATATTTTGTCAAAGAGACCAGATAAGTTTAAAAAATTTAATTCACACATTTTAAAGTATGTGTAATTTACCACTGCTTATTGGTGTAAAACGTATGAAAAATACGTCCCCTTATGAAAAA